CTGAAGCCCCACGTCCAGAAAGCGTACTACAGCCAACAACGGACATGTTCGTTGCAGCTACCGGTCCTGCGCATCATTTGTGAAAGGTTCGGTTGGCAGGACCCCGACATCTTCGATGAGCTCACTCGAGGCTTTCGGCTCCTGGGGCCGATAAACCCAGGACTTGGTTGGCGCAAGCGCAATGATCTCCGCTACGCCAACCCGTTGCAGTTTAACGACTTCATTGACAAGAACGAACGCTATGTGTGCGACAAACTTCGCAGATCAAGAGTCGACCCGTGCTGGGAACAGTTGGCGAACGAGATCGCAGAGGACGTTCGCCTCGGACGCATGGAAGGCCCTTTCACAAGTCCGACTACCTGGCCCAAGACAGCGGTTCCCCTCGCAACGCACGCACACACAAGCAGACTTCTACCAGGCCCCGAAGCACACAAGCCGACTTGCTTCGCCTTCGCAGTGCACCAGGTTGGCTCCGACAACAAGCCCAAGGTACGCAGAGCTGAAGATTGGAGGAGGTCCTTCGCCAATGCTACGGTGGGAATCTCCGACACGCCTCCATACCATGATGTCTCAGCCTATGTCCGCCTCGCAGTCGCGATCAAAAAGGTCGACCCTTCAGCGAAGCTTCTGATATGGGGCCTCGACCACGAGTCCGCCTACCGCCAGCTAGCAGCGGAGGACCCGGACCACACTTGGGTGGTGCTTCCCACGCCACACGGCATAACCTTATGGAGACACACAGTCTTGATGTTTGGGTCAGTTGCGTCAGTGTGGTCTTACTGTCGCGTCGCAGACCTCATGTCATGGCTTTGCCGTGCATGTCTGTTGACGCCGGCGTTGCACTTCGTCGACGACTTTGGCAGCTGCGAGGACGACAAGCTCGCGCACTCCTCCTTTGAGTACTCGAAACGCCTTTGCCGTGCACTGGGTTTTTCTTTTAAGCAATCTAAGGAGCAGCCGCCGGACCATTCGCAAGTCATCCAAGGTGTGGACATATCCGTGCACGCAGACTACGTCATGGTGCAGGGCACGTCCTCGCGCCGCCAACGACTTGACGCAGACCTGGTGGCGGTCCTAACAGCTGACAGACTACCGCCGAACGAGGCGTCCAGCTTAGCGGGAAAACTCCAGTTCTTCTGCCAAGCCCTGATGGGCAGGTCTCACGCAGCAGCTTTGAGGCCACTTTTCGCTCGGGCCAAACAGACAGGCCACGGCCGTGACCACTCCGAGTGGAGATTGAACGACCAGCTTCGCCATGGCATCGGCCTCATTCGCTGGAGCCTACATCACGCCTCGCCGAGGCAGCTGATGTTCCGAGAACAACCTCGATCCGTGATTTACGCAGACGCCTTCTTCAACCTCTTCGAGAAGGACTGGAAGCCTTCGGACGAGGACATACCACAGTGGGGAAGGACACCACCGGAGACGCTTCGCAACGGTTGGGGTTTCGTGGCCACTGCCCGCGGCCAAACGTTCTACGCCGCAGGCCGAGTTCCCCACTGGTTTGTTCGGGAATTCGCAAGCCGCAGAGCCTACATCTACATGCTCGAGATTGTTGCTCAAATCCTACCGCTGCTCGTCTTGCATGACCGCATCGACCAGCACGTGATCATGTTCGTGGACAATGAACCAGCTCGCCACGCTCTGTCGAAGGGCTTTGGCAAGGATGAGTCGATCAACAGACTGCTCCAACACAGTTGGCGCTACATGGAGGGGATCCAGCTTCGCCCCGCCTGGCAGCGAGTCACTTCTTCGGCCAACGTGAGCGACGCAGTCAGCCGCGGTGACCTTCGCCACGCTCAAGCTGAAGGTTGGACCTTGGTCGAGGAGGACTGGGACGCAGTTTTCGAAGGACTTCTGAAGGGCTCTGAACGATTTAGGGCTCCCGGTGTGCTTTGATGGTGCAGGCGTCACACCTATGGTGATTCGCACCGCCTCGCATCGATCGCGTCTGAGACGTTTCGATA